CAGCCACCTGGAAGAAGTCGTCTTCAATCAAACCTTTGCAATTTGCCTCGCACGGGCTTGAATCAAATTTCGAGAGAAGGTGGGTTTCTTGAACGCTATAGTCGATCCTGGAGCGGACCATCGATCGATTTTTGAGCTACTCTTGGCTAGAGAAGGAGAAAAGAATGAACTTCGAATTACAAGGATAGCAACTCAATCTCACTTCGAAATAAGCGTTCAAAAGACATAGCCAATGTACTGTAAACAGCTCTTCTGTACGAAGACTGGGTTCGAATTATCCAACCGGCGCACTTTTCGTACTTCGAATTATACTGTATAACACATTCGATTTTGACTTGAAGTGACTAGCAGAAGATCGGTACCGCGGTACGACGAAAAAGTTCGAATTACACGGAATGTTCGAATTATACCGTATTCGAATTAGAGGGAGTCTACCTGTATTAGCCCATGGGCTTATATGCGCGGAACTACGGTAACTACTTGAGTACAGTGTACCATACTCAAGTACTCTCGTTGTTTTATTCACGCGCAACGCACAAACGTGGGCCTACAGTCCATTTCAAAACTATAGACGCGCAGTGTTTTTGAAATATTTCAAATTTGGCTCGAACTTTTTGAGAATAGTTTTCGGAATATTGCTCAGGTCCGCTTGGATAACAGACGCCCAATTTGGAAAAAAATATGCACAAAGTGATCACAGATTTTATGTGGTATAGATGCTGGCATAATGGCTTTTGCCTAGGTACGCGTCTATAGTTTTGAAATGGACTGTAGGACCCCCGACAGAATGTGGCATTTATTTGAAGGCAGGCGTAGGGTCCAGTTAGCCCGTCCGGTTTCATTTACTTGCTCATATCTTGTGTACCCGTTACAGATATAGATGAGTGTGCCACTGGTGGTCATGATTGTGATGCAATGGCATCATGTAACAACACCCTTGGTTCATTTGGATGTTCCTGTAAGAATGGATATTACGGAAATGGAACATCTTGTGAAGGTATGCAGTTAGCCAGTTAGTCTGACATTCAATAAGAAAATAAGCGTGGTGTACACTCAAACCTCATTTATCCGGGCAGTCCGGGACCGAGCTCTGCCCTTGACTATCTTGAATATCTGCATCTCTGAGTCACATACCTTTTGGGTTTACCCTGTCAAAGGGCTTCGAAATTGCACGGGGCAACTGGTCCCAAGAAGTTTGCGAACGTGCAGAATTCATATTCACGCAATCCATTATAAAATTATAAATCCAATTTCAAAAAACTGATCCCGTGCCACTGATCCAGTGCCATGTAAAATATATTGATTGTTTATCGTCAGCTTTTCCCAAGAAATCGGGGCGGACGGGAGGGTTTTTATTTTATTTTTATTAACAGGTTATGCAAGTACCCGGTACATGTATAGCTGTAGGGTAGGTGTTCGCAACCCCAGACATGCCTTTTTCTTCGGTTTTTTTGTTGTATTTTTTTTGAAGCCATTTGGCGCAGAGTGAGATAAATCCATGGGATGCAGGTGAATCGTCAGCCATGAATGACATCTTCAAGACAATTTTGAGGATTCTAATAAGGAAAGGTGCAACAATCAATGTAGAAAATGAAGAAAATCAGGCAGCTGATAATCTTTCACTTTTCAAGCCCATACTGGCACCATAGCAACTAAGTTATGGTTCAGTCTGGGGACTTGACCTTCGAAAATCTAAGCCATGCTGATTAGAGGCCGTAGAAGGCAGGACATACAGTGCATTTACCAGTACTGTGGTAGGATGTAAGGTCCTCCGACACAGCACACACACACGCACAGCAAGGTCAAGTCTTTGTATATACTTCGGAAGTAGTTATGATCCATTAATCTTACGCGTTTCTGCCTGTAAGGCTTCGTCAGAGACAAGGATGGAATATAATGAATAAAGACTAGTAGTTATATAGGGCTTGATTCTATGTGCCAGATGGGTGCTTGGGCGGTAAAGGCGCAATAACTTGAGTTGCAGACAAGTGTAACAAATGTCAAAAAAGTTGTACAAGTTGAACTAATGTACCGTATTTTTCGGAGTATAGTGTGCACCTTTGTATAACGCGCACCCCCAATCTTCATTGGGGGTGCGCACTTCAATCTGCATTGAAGTACATGCATTTCATATTCGGAGCATAGTGCGCACCTGCGATTTAGGGCCTAAAATAGCACATCTAAAGTGCGCACTATACTCCGGAAAATACGGTACTAAACCGTAAGACTGGGGTCAAAATATGCGGTCAGAGTACCAGAATGTTTGTACAGAGTCAAGATTATGCAGAATCAAAGAGAGCGGGAAAAAAGGGGCGGGAAAGTTTAGGTGGGAACCAGAAATTTCTGGTTCCCACCTAAACATCGGGGCGGGCGCGGACGATAAACAATCAACTTTTTTTACTTGGCCTAAGCCGATCGTTATGATATCAGCTAAGAAAGAGAAAGAAAGAGAGAGAGAGAGAGATTGAGTGTGTTAGCTCAACATAGAGCACCGAGTGATTGAATGAGTATTCAGAAGTGTGATATAAAGTGTATGTTTGATCGTTGAGCTGTAAAGGCGACCCTGAGCTGGGACAGGTGCACAGTCCTGTGTATATGGCATATGGGGTGCCCCAATCAGTCAGCGTGTGCAGACGTGCACGAGCAGTGCATGCCCTGTGCATGTATGTAGATGCCCAAAGACAAAAGGACATGGCTAAGTATAGTGTTGAAACGATCTCACCGGGTACTCGTTAGCTCTCTCGCCAGAAACTCGGCTCGTTTGTGCGGCCAGCTCGTTTGCACAAACGAACACCGTACCGTGCTCCGTACACATGGTGGTACATGTCGACCGGAGAGTCGTAAAATATTTTACGACTCCCTGGTCGAGAGTTCAGTCCCACGCAAAGTGAAAATCACTCGCAGTTACGGTGACTATGCCTGCACAACACTGGGTTGTTTCGGTTGTCGTTGCAGCTTTGGTGAGCTCCACTGATGTCTTGTTCCGCATCTGCTGATCTGTCACAGGACATGCTTCTGTCAACTCTCCATTCAAGTGAAAGTTACACTCAGTCATTTGAAAGTTTTCTCCCGCAATGCAGCGAAGAACAGGGCTACTTGCAATCTTTGCAAAACAGTCTATTCTTACAAAGTCTGCTCAACGACGGCGCTGAAATGACATCTCGACACCAAACAGCAGTCCGAAGCGAAGCAGCAGCAACCCCAAATGCCGTCGGTGATAATTATTTGAACCAGCTGAATTGAAAATAATCGAACTTAGAAAAAATATATTTCAAAAAATCATATTTGCCGCATCAATGAAACCAAGAGTGCATAAACAAGAGTATGCAACTGTGGTTATGGGTCAGTGTGCGGCGCGCTGCCTTCATTACGTAACTTGCCTTCATCACGCTCTGAAGGCATGCATCCAAACTCTCAATTTCTCGCACGAGCCCATCCGTTTTTGCTCGATTCGTTCCAGTACCTACACAATCTCTGAATTCTGGCGCGTGAACTCCAGTTCCGTACGAAAGTTCATTTCAAACTGGAGGGAAAGTGCGGTGTTTGATTTTTCCGCAGTGCGCGGACTGCAGCTGAATGATGTAATGAAGGCAGCGCGCCGCGCATCTGGCCCATAGAAAAGAGATCACAGTTGCATACTCTTGTTTATGGACTCTTGATGAAACTCGTTAGCTCGCTCGATAGCTTGCTCGTTAGTGGAACTGTTCGCTCGTTTGTTATAGATACGCTCGTTTCAACAAGCTAAGTATAAGGAACATGAGGAAAGGAAGAAGTGAGGGTCTCTGCATGTGATAAGTGCTAAAAAGGGTCAACTGCATTAACCCCACAGAATGAATGCAGGCATGGGGTCCAGTTAGTTCGTCCGATTTCATTTACTTGCTCATATCTTCAAGAGTATATAACCCCCCAAGAGTGTGCAACTCCTGATACCCTTTCTATGGGGTACGCCGACATCACGTGGTGCAGCGTCGCAGTTGTACGTTTCCAGCCCGTTTTTAGCGAGAAGCGGAGTAATAAAAAAAGCACTCTCTGACAGAAACTCACTGCGGGTATGCAGATCTCCAGCAGATATTCAGATTGCGCGCACGCTATCCTTCGTTTGTACATAGTACGAACGTATCTGAGACACGTGATGTGAGTTTTCGCCGTCGGAGACCCCATATGCAGAGTTGCACACTCTTGGGGGGTTATACACTCTTGATATCTTGTGTACCCGTTACAGATATGGATGAGTGTGCCACTGGTGGTCATGATTGTGATGCAATGGCATCATGTAACAACACCCTTGGTTCGTTTGAATGTTCCTGTAAGAATGGATATTACGGAAATGGAACATCTTGTGAAGGTATGCAGTTGGCCAGTTAGTCTGACTTTCAGTAATTTAATTTTAAAGCGTGCGTGCACATGATGTGCCGGGCAGCTCCACAGACCCCTGAGCATATTATCTGACGTGAATGATCAAGAAAATAAGCATTGTTGTGCACTCAACCCTAATTTATACAGGCGGTCAGGGACCAAGCTCTGCCCATGGCTGCAACATATGTTCGGGGAATGGCCAGAATTATGGCGCGACGTCACTATTTCCACAAAACTCGCCCAAAGGGTACCCGGTTGACTGAAGTGACCTCACGTGACGTCTGACGTATGAGTGTATGAGCGAGTTTTCCTTGCTCCAAAATGTGCTTTCAGATTTCTGTGTTGATCCCTACGTGGGGCCTCTCGCTGTTCTTGATTACTTGACTTTACTTTAGATCATCTACAGCTCACGAAAAGCTCATGGAACATTCGTATCCACACCGCTTCCTGCTTTGTACACAGTTTTTTTGGGAATTTGCCCCAAGGGAGTTGAGCTTGAGTCTGATACTTTCATGTGTGTTTCATTTGTATATGCGTGCGCGCGCGCGTGTGTGTGTGTGTGTGTGTGTGTGTATGCCATGTGCGTACATGGGTGGGCGTGTGTGTGTGTGTCTGTACAGTCAACACTTGTCAGATCAGTGCTCCACGAAATGGCACCATAAGTCCTGTTTTGACTTCTATCCAGTTCAAAGAGACAGTTGTGTATTCATGTGACAGCGGATATCATCTGGCTGGTAAAGACAGAGCTCTTTGTCAAGCCAGTGGCACTTTGGATGCTGTGCCCCCGAAGTGTCAAGGTGAGGTTATCATGGGAATCTGTGTAATGTTCAATAACTCCTGAAATTTCTTGTAGATATTCCACAGGCAGTGGTGAAAGTCCTATTAGGTACGGCAGCCCGAGAAGCAAGTGCTAGTGTGCCCTGAAGGGTCTGGAGGTCGTGCTGAGCATGGTCATAATAACACTATCACTTGTATCACCAGCATCATGACTTCAAACAAAAATGTTGCTGGTGGGTGAGGTCGGCCAGAGAGCGCATGTAGTGGAGGGGGAATTGCTTTACTGATAGACAGGCCGAAAGTTGCTGCTTACCCTTTTAGAATTCCCCCTTGCCTTAAAATTCACAATTCCTACTTCCTACTCTGCACGTAATGGTATTCGCCATTTCTTCGTCGTTCATCTTGAGTTTTATTGTGTCAACCCGAGGATGAGTCCAGTCTGATTACTTGATAGAAATTAGAGAGGCTTTTGCAGTAAAGCGCCTATGATTGTATAATAATGCAGAATTTGTGTGAGGTGCTGATGTTGTTGCCCTAAGGACTAGAGAGTTATAGATTGCATTATGTGTAGGACCACTCCGGGGTGGTGCATATATGGAAATGTTACGACGTGATGATTGTGAATTGCGACTTGACTTCCATTCTCTCTACTGTGTGGAAAGCTCTGCCTGAGGCTATGAAACAAAAGGTTCAGCAGGATGCATGATTCACTGAGTATGCATTCCGAGTAACGCCAAGAAGCAAGGAATATGTACAGGTGTGCTTTGAGCGTGGGATACAACATACAAGGCGATGTGTCTCACCAGTTGGTCGGACCGTTTAACTGCTGGCCATGGCTTAGCACTGAGGGTTTGAGACGCCACACATGTAAATGGAAGCATGCATAATTCCTGAAGCGGCCTTGAGTGATGTTGATACTATCATTATGTGCTGTTCAGGAAGTTTTTTTGGCAAAACAGAAAATGGGCTCTTTAACGCTGACATTGGCAAATGCATAAGTAAGACGAACAGCATTGTGGCGTGTTCATTTCATCAACACATTTGCCATATGATGGAGAAGTTCACACACACACACACACACACACACACACACACACACACACACACACACACACACACACACACACACACACACACACACACACACACACACACAGACACACGCACACTTGGGAATTATGTGCTAGTGAGATGCACCCATATTTTGTTAGAGAGTGTCCGCCATGGATCAGTGGTGTAGTCACATGGTTCAACAAAATATCTGAAGCGAGATTTCTGAAGGGTTCTGTTTGTGTTGTTTTTTTCTCACAGATATCGATGAGTGTTCAAATGGTGGTCATGATTGCAATGCACTGGCATTATGTCACAATACCATTGGCTCATTTGAATGTTCCTGCGAGACTGGATATTACGGAAATGGGACATCTTGTGAAGGTAAGCCGTAAGCTTTGAACATTCTTTGAACGACAGAAAGTCAGTTGAATATCGACATGATACCATTTCATGAAGGACAGTTGGATTTGCGCTGCGGTCCACCCGCAGTATGGACCTACGCCCTAAGCCTCGCCATGAACTCTTGCACCAGCAGGCTGATGGATCCTGTCTTACCATCCTTTGCTGTTCAGCTAAAGTCACTCATGCCAGAAACACAGCTTGTTTGCGCCATCCTAGGCATGTCGCATGTTTGAATGTTTATGTTTCTGTTATTGTTTTGGGAAACATATATCATTCCCTTCTGTGACCTTGTGTTTTGCAGCTTGTGGAGTTCCGTCAGGACATTTTATACAGTCAATTTCAAGCGATGGAGCTGTAACCTGCGTTCATGGTTACGAGGTTGATCAAGGTAGCACAGCTGAAACCTGTACCAATACTGCTGGTGTATGGCAGAATGCACCTACCTGCAGAAGTAAGCAATCTAGCGGTGTGGTGTCCGGGATAGTAAAGTTCCTTCATTCCTAGGTACAGTTAGTTCTTCAATGCTAGATCTTACACAGTCGACCTGCTCTTATGTATCTTATAGCGGTACTTACATCAGACCAATATTGATTTGATGTTGAACTTTTAGCGGTGACTAGTTCATTTCATACATGTATGTCGTATCACATGTTTCCCCCATTGTTAACCCTCTTCCTAGCGCCAAAAATGTACGTACATGCATGTCCCATGCTTATGATGCATACAAAATTGCATTAGTGTAATCAAAAGTACATTAACCCCAAAAGCCTGCACAACCTCTATTCAGTGCTGTGACGGATAGGCCCAGACAGATCCTGCCGGCAACTCTTTCGGCAAAATATTGGAGATTTTAAAAAACTGGGCCTTTGGCCGAGTCTCACGCGAACCGTGAATTTTTTTTCTTTTAAAGCGGAAGTTGCCGGCAAAATCGGAGCAAAGTATCGAGATCTTGGATAAAATCGATGCCTGATACTTGGATTTCCTTGTTCTTACCCGTTCAGCACAATACACTGCCAAGGACGAGATCATGTCACCGAAATATGATTCAAATATCACTGGGATTCACAGTGGATTACCATGATTTTGAAGAACCCAGAAACCACCCGTTTTTTATGAAACGTTGTACGGGAAGTGGATAAATTACATGTTTTGCCGGAGCAAAATGAGCAAAATATCGGGTTTCTGGTGCAGGCTCGGCAAAAGATCGAAGATTTCGCAGCAACACGTTGCGGCAACATATCGAGGCGAGCGGAGCAGAATCTGGGCCTAGTGCCGGCAGAACTTCACATCACATGACAAAAGTTTACGGTGGCAAAGTGACCATAAGAGAGTTGAACCCAAAGCAGAGTTACTTCCTCCGCGTCATAAAATTGTCGCTTCCCAGAGCGATTTTTCGACTTTATTTTGTCCACTCGAAGGGCAAAGAAATCAGCTAGGAATTGAGGCAGAGCATTGTCGACGGACCAAACTTTAGTTTGTGGCCTCCCGCTTCGCCGCACTTGCAGCTAAGGTCGACGGCTTCATCAGAGTTTGGGGCAGACCCTTCAGCACTCAACAGTACGCTGAAGAAGACGCGCGTTCAAATTCAGGTCAAGAAACTTCGTTTTCAAGCGATCCATGCCTCCAGGTGGCAGGCGATGAAGGCAAGCTAGCATTTTTCAAGTACACTGTAACGACCTTCCAGCGGGATAGGGTAAGCAGTTCCGCACCTTCTTTCCTTGGCAAGCGTTTCGCTGATTTTATTGGTGTTTTCAGACCTGCTACCTTCGCAGCAACATGCGCCACAAGTAGCGCATTTTAGGAATTTGAGAACACTTTGTTCTTGCCATCGTCAACTTCAGCATTTTGTATTCAGGAGAGATACCAGGATTCTTATACCCGAGCTTGTGGTCTTGATAAATGGCCACTCGAACGATGTGGGACGGCACGAACTCCAGAAAACGAAATGCCTCTGGGGCGGAATAGTGCGAAGCGCGATGAATTTGCTTGATGCGGAAGAGAGCTCCGACAAAATCCGAGACCACCACGGCTTCAGTAACAAGTAGACATTGCGCAGGAAGGGTCGCACCAGTGTTCGAACACAGAAAACAGCGATTCCGACAGTCTGACTAAGACGAGTCTTAGTCACAAATATTGTGATGTGCGAAGCGACAATTTTAATGATGCGGAGGAAGTAGGTACAACCCTGTGTCTATTAAGGTGAAAATTATGTGCACGGGTTTGTCATGTGATGTAAATTTCTGCCGTTGCAGACCCCGTAGCTGGAGGTGCACACTTCGAGGGATTTTTTACGGTTATTTGCTCTTGGTGCCCCTACTGGATTTTTTCACGTCACAGTGGCTTATCAATCGGTTATCATTATAAGGGCAGGTTGCCTGTGTGTGAGTGTATGTGTGTGTGTGTGTGAGAGAGTGCATGTGCACGTGCGTACGTGCATGTGTGTGCCAATGTGTCTGATGTGTGTCTGTGTATCCACATGTGTGCAATGTATATTTGTGCAGTCAAAACCTGTCAGATCAGTTCTCCGGGAAATGGCAGCACCAATACAGTTTCTGCTTCTATCAAGTTCAATGAGACGGTTGTGTATTCATGTGACAACGGCTTTCGTCTTGTGGGTGAAGATAAAGCTTTGTGTGATGCAAGTGGTACTTTGGATGCTGTGCCTCCCAAGTGCCAAGGTGTGTGATTGTGTAGTGCTACTGCGATCTGATATGTTTGGAGTTGTGCCCCGTAGTGTACAGTGTTGTTTATGTGGCTGGCATAATTTGAAACCAATGTCCAATTTTTTTACATATAGGCCCTACCATGAGAAGTATGGCATAGAATGGACTGTACCAATCATTCTATTGAATATGCATATAACCTGTTGATTATTGGAAAGAAATGTTTGAATGAATCACAGTTGCACACCGAGTGTTCATTTGGACTTGCCTGAAGCTGTGATATCTGTTGCAGTAATTTGAACACTGCTGTCTTTTTTCTCCTGTGCAGACATTGTTGAATGCAACAATGCCTCTTTACATGACTGTCACCATGATGCATGGTGTGTGAACACTGATGGAAGTTATGGATGTTCATGCATGTCAGGGTTTACAGGAAATGGAACACATTGTGATGGTGAGTGAAGCGGAATTATGAGTATATTTAATTATTTCAGTGGAGAATAAACCACATGAATGTACCAGAGAATGTCCACTTTACTTGCATAGTCCATGATTGGCGAATGAGGCGGGCTCTTGATCCCAATTGACAAAAACTCAGACTTCGTACTGAAAATGTTTCGACTTCCTTGAGTTTGACTGAGTCATACAAAATATAACTAGATCGTGCGTTTGACTCCCTACTGGACTTCGGACTGTTTATAGGACAATGACTGCCTACTGAGTCCAACCTTATGTACAGTAAAACCTGTAACTAACGACCACCCCTTGGGACCAGAGAAACCGCTCTTTAGTGGCAGGTGGTCCTTAGTTAGGGGCTTGCACCGCACAACCATAATAATGAATGTGAGACCGTCCGTGCCTGGCGAAGTGGTCTGTAGTAGCAGGCTGGTCACTAGTCACGGTGGTCTGTAGTAGCAGGCTGGTCACTAGTCACGGTGGTCTGTAGTAGCAGGCTGGTCACTAGTCACGGTGGTCTGTAGTAGCAGGCTGGTCACTAGTCACGGTGGTCTGTAGTAGCAGGCTGGTCACTAGTCACGGTGGTCTGTAGTAGCAGGCTGGTCACTAGTCACAGTGGTCTGTAGTAGCAGGCTGGTCACTAGTCACGGTGGTCTGTAGTAGCAGGCTGGTCACTAGTCACGGTGGTCTGTAGTAGCAGGCTGGTCACTAGTCACGGTGGTCTGTAGTAGCAGGCTGGTCACTAGTCAGGGTGGTCTGTAGTAGCAGGCTGGTCACTAGTCACGGTGGTCTGTAGTAGCAGGCTGGTCCCTAGTCACGGTGGTCTGTAGTAGCAGGCTGGTCGCTAGTCACGGTGGTCTGTAGTAGCAGGCTGGTCACTAGTCACCGTGGTCTGTAGTAGCAGGCTGGTCGCTAGTCACGGTGGTCTGTAGTAGCAGGCTGGTCACTAGTCACGGTGGTCTGTAGTAGCAGGCTGGTCACTAGTCACGGTGGTCTGTAGTAGCAGGCTGGTCACTAGTCACGGTGGTCTGTAGTAGCAGGCTGGTCACTAGTCACGGTGGTCTGTAGTAGCAGGCTGGTCACTAGTCACGGTGGTCTGTAGTAGCAGGCTGGTCACTAGTCACGGTGGTCTGTAGTAGCAGGCTGGTCACTAGTCACAGTGGTCTGTAGTAGCAGGCTGGTCACTAGTCACGGTGGTCTGTAGTAGCAGGCTGGTCACTAGTCACGGTGGTCTGTAGTAGCAGGCTGGTCACTAGTCACGGTGGTCTGTAGTAGCAGGCTGGTCACTAGTCAGGGTGGTCTGTAGTAGCAGGCTGGTCACTAGTCACGGTGGTCTGTAGTAGCAGGCTGGTCCCTAGTCACGGTGGTCTGTAGTAGCAGGCTGGTCGCTAGTCACGGTGGTCTGTAGTAGCAGGCTGGTCACTAGTCACCGTGGTCTGTAGTAGCAGGCTGGTCGCTAGTCACGGTGGTCTGTAGTAGCAGGCTGGTCACTAGTCACGGTGGTCTGTAGTAGCAGGCTGGTCACTAGTCACGGTGGTCTGTAGTAGCAGGCTGGTCACTAGTCACGGTGGTCTGTAGTAGGAGGCTGGTCACTAGTCACGGTGGTCTGTAGTAGCAGGCTGGTCACTAGTCACGGTGGTCTGTAGTAGCAGGCTGGTCACTAGTCACGGTGGTCTGTAGTTGCAGGCTGGTCACTAGTCACGGTGGTCTGTAGTAGCAGGCTGGTCACTAGTCACGGTGGTCTGTAGTAGCAGGCTGGTCACTAGTCACGGTGGTCTGTAGTAGCAGGCTGGTCACTAGTCACGGTGGTCTGTAGTAGCAGGCTGGTCACTAGTCACGGTGGTCTGTAGTAGCAGGCTGGTCACTAGTCACGGTGGTCTGTAGTAGCAGGCTGGTCACTAGTCACGGTGGTCTGTAGTAGCAGGCTGGTCACTAGTCACGGTGGTCTGTAGTAGCAGGCTGGTCACTAGTCACGGTGGTCTGTAGTAGCAGGCTGGTCACTAGTCACGGTGGTCTGTAGTAGCAGGCTGGTCACTAGTCACGGTGGTCTGTAGTAGCAGGCTGGTCACTAGTCACGGTGGTCTGTAGTAGCAGGCTGGTCACTAGTCACGGTGGTCTGTAGTAGCAGGCTGGTCACTAGTCACGGTGGTCTGTAGTAGCAGGCTGGTCACTAGTCACGGTGGTCTGTAGTAGCAGGCTGGTCACTAGTCACGGTGGTCTGTAGTAGCAGGCTGGTCACTAGTCACGGTGGTCTGTAGTAGCAGGCTGGTCACTAGTCACGGTGGTCTGTAGTAGCAGGCTGGTCACTAGTCACGGTGGTCTGTAG